TGTTGGTTTTGGATTTGTGCTGACTATTGATACTTCTTTGCTGTATAAATACAATTTAAAGTAAAGGTGCGCCCCATCACACCCTATCAAAATGAGTAATTTTGCAAAACATGTTTCAAGGTTTTTTGTGATCACTGCCAAACAACACAGGATGTGACTGATTTGACATGCTTGTCAAGGTTTAGGGAAGAGCAGCAGGTTGGAAACGAGGAGGGTGTGTGTACACATACAAGCAGGTGCCCAAAGAGGGTATCAGGTGCCCTGGAGCTGGAGTCACGGCTTGTGTTGAACCCCTACACTGAACTTTGAAAGATCAGCAAGTATTCACACCCGCCAAGCCATCTCTTTGGCCCAAGCTGCCTCTTTAAGGGCCAGTCACCTGCAAAACTTGGGGAACTGGAAGAGCTCATCTTCATCTAGATAGGTTCCTGGCTAAGCCAAGCGGCTTCCCAACTTTGAGGTCCCAGCTGTGCTTGAGTTCTGCTCAGCTCTATTAGCATTCACTAACAATTGAACAATCTTTCCACCCAGTCAGTAAGACTAACAAGTAAATTAAGTCAGGTACTGTTACTTTTTTCCCCCCCTTAATGCAGCAAATTGTCGGGGCATGGCAGTGAACGCCCTTACTCCCATCCCTCAGAAGGCAGAGGCAAGTGAGCTCGAAGCCTGCACGAGCCCTAACCCTGTTTCCAAAAAAAATTCGGCAAGTCACTTTTATTCTCCAAATAAGTGAGCTTTCTACACACTTCGCTGAGATCCTCGCTCCTAAAAAAAAAACGAGCGATCCCAGCGCCATCTCTCGTGGGACCGATCTGGCCGCTGGCGTAAGAAAGCGGGGCCGAGGAAGTCAGGCTGGTTTCTGCCGAGGCCAGGAACGGCACCGCCGCCGTGGCGCGACTCCGCGCTCTCCGATCCTACTACTTTTCCCGAAGTTTGTCTCCGCGCCAGGCCGCACGCGCGCGCGCGCGAGCCCTTGAGGACGGAGGGGGCACGACGCTGAGCCGCTCCCGCCCGAGCCGGCCGACACGCGGCCGCCGCGGGACAAAGCCAAGGGAGAGGCCGAGCCCGCCGCGCCCAAGTGCCGAACGGAACCCGAAGCCGCTCGGAAAGACGAGCGCTTCCCGGGCCGCGCGGGCAGGGCCCGTCGGGGGGCTGCGCGACGGGCGGCGGGCGGCGGCGGCGAGGCCCCTCCCCGGCCCCCCGCGCCCTGGCGAACGCTGCCCCGCTCGGGCCCCCGCGGCACTACCCGGGTCGCTCCAACCCCCGAGCGGCCGAGCGGCCGAGCGGCGCCGCCCCGACGGCGGGCAGCGCGCCCGCACCTCCACGTCGATGTCCAGGAAGCCGCCCTCCGCCACCTCGAAGATGAGGCCCATCTTGGTGCCCGAGGTGACCCGCTCGAAGAAGCACTCCTCGGCGTGCGCGTCGATGCTGACAAAGTAGCCCGAGGCCGTGGCCAGCAGCGCGGCCAGCAGCACCAACAGCTCTGCGAGCGTCACCATGGTGCGGCACGGGCCGGAGCCGGGACGCGGACTGCGGCCTCCAGAGCCGCCGCCACCGCTGCCGCCTCAGCCGCCGCCGCCGCCTCAGCTCCGCCCCTTCCGGCGGCGCCTCCCGAGGGGGCTGATGCGGGCGCCGCTGATTGGCCGGCGCCGACAGCTGCCACGTAACGGACGCACGGCGGCCGCCGAGGGACAAGGGGGAGATCCTGGGGCGGGACGGCGGCCCCCGAGAGCCAAAAATCCATCGGCTCCAGCCCTTCGACGTTCAAACTAAGGATCACGTGGACCAGGGCGGGAGAAAAGGCGCTGCGCTGTTGCAACGGTTGGTTGCTTTTGCTGAGAACCCGAATTCGAGTCCTAGTGCTGACAGGGGGGCTCACAACCGTCTGTACTCCAATTCTGGCCGTCTTCTGGCCTCCACGGGCACCGCACACACATGGGATACAGACACACATGCAGACAAAACACCCCAAACACATAAAATTTAAAGCATAATAGCAATAAGTAAGGATCACATGGACTTATTCAGAAAGTCATAGTACATAGGGGTTTCCCCTGCCTATTACAACGCAGTTTTAGGATTATCCAGGGAGATGACTATAGAGAGTCAGAGGTAGTATCAAAACTGGAGGATCTCTCTGCACTCTCCCTCTACGTGATCTCTGTATCTGTCTCTGTGTCTCTCTCCTCTTAATAAAGCTCTAAAAGGTTAAAAAAAAAATGGAGGCTATGGGAGGGAGATGGGTGCTAAAAATGAGAACTCCAATTTTTGTGTTTCTTTTGTTTGCTCCCCCATTACCCTGCTTATCTAGGTTGGGGAGTGCTCAAGGTCCTTAACCCCCACACCATCCTTCGGAGAACCCCTGAGGATGCTGGGAGTGCTATGTCCTCTGAGGGCCACCGCACTTACATGCACGTGCTCATCCCCATGCACATACACATAGTTAAAAGAATAAAAAAAAGAACCTTCTTAGAAAGATCTATGTACATGATATTGTGAAACAAAATTTCACCTTGTTCAGATTTCCCGCAGGATTGCTGCCTGCCCTAACATACTTGGGACTGTCGAAGTGCCTGCTGACAATCTGCTCATCCCTCAAACTCAATTTAAATGTCACCAAAAATTCATTACTGGATTTTAAAATATGATTCACTTATTTATGAGCGTTGGTGCCATGCCTGCATGTATGTCTGTGTGAGAGTATCAGATCCCATGGAACCGGACTACAGACAGTTGTGAACTGTCATGCAGGTGCTGGGAATTGAACCCAGGTCTTCTGGAAGAGCAGCCAGTGCTCTTAACGGCTGAGGCATCTCTCCAGCCCCGGTTACTGGATATTGGTCATTCACCAGCCCCTCTGTGTTCGCAGTACACGTTTGTTCTCACTGAAAATACAAGTGCTTGCTTGTCTTGAGAAGACCGAGCTTTATGTAGGCTGTGCTGTCTATGGCCACCTAAGACCAAAGGACTTTCCCTTGTCACATGCTGGGTGAATTCATTGGACCACCTTGGGGATCACGGAGTCTGGCTTGCAGCTCCACTTGTGTGCATAGCTCTGTGACTGTGACTAGGTTCCACCAGAGCTCTAAGCCCTCGTTTCTTGGTCTGTAAAATGAGAGCACAGCAAACCTTACAAAACTCATGGAATTTTTTTTTTTTTTTTTTGAGAGAGACCTGTAGGCAATAGGGGGCAGCAGTTTCCCACTTTAGGTGACAAGAGAGAGGTAGAGCTGTGGTGACAGTGTCTTACAGAGATGAAGTCCCTCAACCTTGGCCAGTGTTCCTCCACCTTCCAGCCCCACACAGCACACACACACCCCGTTCCCCAGCAGGTCAGCTCTTTAGAAAAGCGCCCAAGGACAAATTTGTTTTCATGTAGAAACTCAACATTAATTTTTAATTTGGAAGAGATTAAATGCTATTCTAACATCACCCAGCCACCCAGCCAGGATTTCAAATAGGAAAATTTAACATCTGGGGAAAACACAAAAAGCTGTAGGTTGTAGGTTTATTGTATGAGCCAGGTGTCCAAATACAAAGGCCTTCAGAAATCAGGCAATTTGGTTTAGGTAATGAGAAGAGCTGCGGCAGCCCAGGCTGGCTTCAAACTTGAAGCAACCCTCCTGTTTCAGCTTCCCAAGGGCTAGAAATGTAGACATGAGCCCACCACTCTCAGCTCTCAATTCCTGGTGGTTGTTGGATTGTCTGAAACTCACTGCTGTAGATCGGGCTGACCTCAAACTCACAGAGATAGTCTTGCCCCTGCCTCCTGAGTGCCAGATTAAAGCCGTGCGCCATCATGCTCAGCCTCTCCTTTGTGTTTACTGAATGAACTTCTCAACATCGTGCTTGTGAAAGTCACCATACCATTGCATAACGGAAATCCTTTTTCACTGCTGCGTAGTACTTCACTGGATGAATTTATCAATCCCTTCTGCCGACCATAGAAATTCCACTTATGCCCAGCTTTGCACCATTTTGAGTAAGGCTGCTGGTGGCGTTCTTCTCTCACTCCCATTAAGGTTAAGCTGCAACCTAAGAGTTGAATTTCTTGGTCCCAGAGCAAAAGAGTATTTAGACTGGCCAGCTTTGCCTATTGCGCTCCAGGCAGCAGGGAGTGAAGCTCTGACCTTGGCGTTCTGGAACTGACAACTCAATCTTGGGTCTGAAATGGGAGGATGTGAGAGATGAAGGAGGCTGAAGACGGAGGGAGAGCCCAGAACCTTCCCTGCAGCCCCTGGAGAGTGACAGGAAGCCCGGAGGAGATTTGTCAGACACCACGGCGATGAAGTTGTTGGAATTTCTGCCCTTGCAGCCGGAGGAAGAGGGAGGAAGAAGAGGAGGAACATCAGTAGACGTGGGAGGGAAGAGGAGGAGGAGGGCGAGGCAGGTAGCAGAAGACATGGAGGAGGTAGAGAAGAGGGAAGAGGGAGGCGCGGGAAGGAGGGGGAGGACAGGGCAGGAAAGAGAAGGGCTGCGGGGCTGCAGCAGCTGCCATGGGCTGTGAGGAGGGCGTCGTGAGTGGGAGTGGGAGATTATTTCAGCTCGAGCCTATTCCTGGTCTCCCTCTGCTGCTGCTGCTGCTGCTGGTGGAGCACCGTCCACGCTGGAAAAGCGCCGCGGCTGCAGCCCGCCCGCCACCGTCAGGCCCCACAGTCGCCTTGCCAACCCTTCTCAGACCCCTTCCGCGGAATCACTGCTCCCCTTGGGCTTGCCTGCTCGCAGGCGATCTTGTGGTGTGACACCGGCCTGTGGCTCTTTCCCCTACATAGCCATGCCATGGGGGCAGGGGGTCCCACACCGGCCTGGAGTTTTCTCCCCACGCCCTCTGGGGAGTTTTCGTCTGTGCGATCCCATTCCTGCCGCTGGCACAAGTATTTCTTCTTCTCCCCCACAGCGGAATCGACGTTGGTCAAGAGTCCGTGGATGCTGTCATTCTTTGAAATCCTGGTCTTTATTTAAAAGGCCAAAAAACCAAAGAAGAAAGCCTTTGCAGGGAGGCGTTTTTAATTTATCTGTTTATTCATTTGGCAGGGAGGGATATGTCACCAAGTGTACGACAAGCAGTAGATAATGCTTGGGAGTTGGCTCTCTCCTTTTACCAGGTAAGACCTGGTACTAGAACTCAGGTCCTCAGGCTTGGTGGCAAGCACCTCTCCCCTTGAGCCATATAACAACCCAAAGCCTTTTTGAATCAGGGTCTTGTTATGTATCCTTGGCTTGTTTTGGGGATAATCTTTTTGGACACTGTGGGAAGTAGTGCCTCTGTCCTTCCTCACCTGCCTCATCAGATTGGTTTAATAAAGAGCTGAACAGCCAATAGCTAGGCAGGAGAGGATAGGCGGGACTTCCTGGAGAGATAGGAACTCTGGGAAAGAATCTGAGATTCACCAGCTAGACTCAGAGGAAGTTGAATATATAGTACTGAGGAGAGGTAACGAGCCACGTGACAGAATGTAGATTAATATAAACAGATTAATTTAAGTTTTAGGAGCTAGTTGGGAATGAGCCTAAGCTAAGGCCAAGCTTTCATAATTAATAAGAAGTCTCCATGTCATTATTCTGCAGTTGACAGTCCAAAGAGAGACCCATTACGCTGGCTAGCCTGGAACTCACTATGTAGAACTCAGACATATGGAGATCCACCTGCCTCTGCCTCCTGAGTGCTGGGGTTAAAGGTGTGTGCCACCATGCCAGGTCTAAAGAAATAAATAGTTTTGAGACAGAATCTCATAACACAGGACCTTTTGAGACAGGATTTCTCTGTGTAGCCCTGTAAGCCCTGAAAGACCAGGCTCTGTAGACCAGGCTGGCCCTGAACTCAGAGACCTGCCTGCGTCTGCCTCCCAAGTGCTGAGATTAAAGGTGTGTGCCACCACTGCCCAGCTTTTCTTTTTTAATATCTGATTTGTGTAAGCACACACGCCTGTGTGGAGGTCAGAGGACAACTTCCAGGAGTGGGTCGCGGGGATAAAATTCAGGTTATCAGCAGATGCCTTTACTGAGCTATCCCTCCAGCTCCAGCTTTGAACCCTTGAACCTCCTGTCTTTATCCCCCAAGTGTGAGGATTACAAACACAAGCCACCAAGACTAGCAAAAGCCATACAGTTGACCGGTGAAGTTTTATTTTTAAATAAGATGATTTTTTTTTTGAGACAGAGTTTCTCTATGTAGTTTTGGTGCCTGTCCTGGATCTCACTCTGTAGTCCAGGCTGGCCTTGAACTCACAGAGATCTGCCTGGCTCTACCTCCTGAGTACTGGGATTAAGGCGTGCGCCACCCCCGCCGGCTGACTGCCTGTGTCTTAACAATTTATTTTTATGTGTGTATGTGTGTGTGTGTGTGTGTGTGTGTGTGTGTGTGTGTGTGTGTGTGTGTGCAGGCTGGAGTCTGTGGAGCCCAGAAGAAAGCTGTGCCCACCCCCAGGAGCTGGAATTTCAGAGTAGCCTCAGAGGCTCTCTCCACCCACTGTGCCTATTTCAATGAGGTTCAGTTCCGTTTGGAATGGATGGGTCCTCCAGCAGGCTGGCCTCTTTTCTTTGCTTTCTTCCTATTTATTTACTTACTTATTTTATTTTTTTGAGAAGGGGCAGTGTTTCACTGTGTAGTCCAGGCTGGCTTTGAACTCCTGACCCTCAGGCTCCTAAGCACTGGGATGTAAGCCTCTCTGCTGTTTCTATTATCTCACACTCCATCACCAGCCCACACTTGCCCGCCACGCCCCACTCAGCATTCATTCAGTCCTATTCTCCACTCAAGACCAGAGCTTCCTTTTAGGCTGGGTGGACCATCATTGTGAGTCTCAGTGAAGCAGCATTCTTGGGTTCTTCTGTGGAAGCTGGGATGTTGTGATCCTGGTTTACCATATCCGTCCCACCTTGGCAGAGACTTGAGATCCCAGCTCAGCCCCTTGGAGGCCTCAGGAGGGATGGGATTTTAGAATACGTGCGAGCAGATTCACAGGTTCACGTAGGGAAGCCGGGATGATGTCTAGAGAGGGGGAGAGAGATTCAGAGGAGCAAGAGAAATAGAGGCAGGCCACATCTTGAGAATCCTTGTTTGAAACCCTGCAATGTGACCCACACCTGTCATCCCATCACCCAGCAAGTGGAGGCAGGAGGATCACCAGGAGTTCAGAGCCAGCCTGACCTGCACACGACAACCTTAGCTCAAACAACAAACAAAACAGGGCTGGAGAGATGGGTCACTGGTTAGAAGAACTGGCTGGTCTTGCAGAGGACCCATGTTCAGTTCCCAGCACCCACAGGGCAGCTCACAACTTATAACTCCAGCTCCAGGGGATCTGACGCCCTCTTCTGGCCTCTTTAAGCACCCAGCCCCTACCCACCGCACAGGCATAAATAAATAAAAGATTTTTTTTTAAGAAATGAAGGGTTGCATTAATGGAGATGATTGTATAAAAAATAAATCTAGGTCTCGAGAGATGGCTCAGCGGTTAAGAGCACTGGCTGTTCTTCCAGAGGTCCTGAGTTCAATTCCCAGCAACCACATGGTGGCTCACAACCATCTACAATGAGATCTGGCGCCCTCTTCTGGCCTGCAGGGATACATGCAAGCAGAACACTGTATACATAATAAATAAATAAATCTTTAAAAAAAAAATAGATCTAGCCAGGCGGTGGTGGCGCACGCCTTTAATCCCAGCACTCGGGAGGCAGAGGCAGGCGGATCTCTGTGAGTTCGAGGTCAGCCTGGTCTCCAAAGCGAGTACCAGGAAAGGCGCAAAGCTACACAGAGAAACCCTGTCTCGAGAAAAAAAAAAAAAAAAAATAGATCTAAAAGACACCAACAGCCTTTCTGGGGACTTCACATGCTTTAAACACTCCTCATCAAAAACCACAAGGGACAAAAATCTCTATGATAGAAACTGTTTCCTATTTCACAAATGAAAATAATCCAGATAAAAAGGCAGTGATTTTCCTGAAGCCATACTGTGGTTCTACAACAGCAATGTGAACTTGGCTCCACAGTCAATTTCTTTTTTCTTTTTTCTTTTTCTTTTCTTTTCTTTCTTTCTTTCTTTTTTTTTGTTTGTTTTTCAAGACAGGGTTTCTCTGTGTAGTTCTTTTTTTCTTTTATTTACTTATGTATGTATATGTATTTATTCATTTATTTTGTTTGTTTGTTTTTTGTTTGTTTGTTTGTTTTTCGAGACAGGGTTTCTCTGTGTTGTTTTGATGCCTGTCCTAGATCTTGCTCTGTAGACCAGGCTGGCCTTGAAATCACAGAGATCTGCCTGACTCTGCCTCCCAAGTGCTGGGATTAAAGGTGTGTGCCACCACAGCCTGGCTTGTTTTGTTTTTCAAGACAGGGTTTCTCTGTGTAGCTCCGGCTGTCAAGGAACTCACTCTGTAGACCAGGCTGGCCTCGAACTCAGACATTTGCTGTTTCTGCCTCCTCAGTGCTGGGATTAAATGTGTACATCACCACCACCTGGTGAGCTGGTGTCCTACTTTTTAGTCCTTGCTGGCCTGAAACTCACACAGAGATCTGCCTGCCTCTGACTTCTGAGTGCAGGACCTCACCCAGATTTCAAATTGTTAATTTTTGCGTGTAGGCACACATGTGGCCACCCACATCCTAGCACACTCAGAGTCAGAGGACACTTTGCAGAGTCCATTCTGTCCTTGGACTGTGAGTCCTGGGGATGGAACCCCAGTCACAAGACTTGGTGACAATTACCCTCTGAGCTTGCTACATCACTCATCAAGTCCTTGATCTGCTCCCCCCCACACACTTCATGGTCCCCCTGCCTCCACATCCAGCATGCTGGCGTTGCAGGTGTGTGCCGCCAGACCCCCAGCTCACACTGCTTGATGAATGGCTTATAGTCTGTTGGTTACCATGGTAACTATCTTACCCCCTCTGAGGGTTTCCCTCTGTTGCCAGCCTGCCCTGGCTCCAACTAAGCCGGCTGATGAACACACAGCAGAGCCTTTGCACAAATGTCACAGGTGTTTTGTGACCTTTGCCTTTTATTCTGCACCGGAGGCCCTCCTCCTCCAGGAAGCCTTCTCTGATCTCCCCACCCAGCTAAGTGTAAAACTGGGTATGCGGCTGATGCCATGTTGGGTCACTGTTGATATATCCCTCCTCAACTCTGGGAGAATATATTTACCTTTCTGAACAGGTGCACGGTTTACTTTAATAAAATTCTAAAGATGGAGCTGAGCACCACAGTACACACCTGCAATCCCAGCACTCTGGAGAACAGACAGGAAGATCTTTACGTGTTCAAGGCCAGCCTGGTCTTGGTCTATATAGTGAGTTCCAGGCCAACCAACCCTACACAGTGAGATCTTGTTTCAAAACTGATTGATAAACCAGGCGATGGTGGCATACGCCTTTTATCCCAGCACTCGGGAGGCAGAGGCAGGTGGATCTCTGTGAGTTCAAGGCCAGCCTGGGCTACAGAGTGAGTTCCAGGACAGCCAAGGTTACATAGAGAAATCCATTGGTTGGTTAATTAATTAAATAAATTAAATAGGGTCAACAAGATGGCTCAGTTTATAAATAAAATAAGGGTATTCCTCTCTTGGACCGCTTCCTTCTCTTGAGAGTTCGTCCTTGGATATCTTTAGTAGGTCTATATTCACTCTGCTTTAAAAACGTGTATATACACAGCTGGGTGGTGGTGGTGCACACCTTTATCACTCTGAGAAACAGAAGCAGACAGATCTCTGAGTTCGAGGCCAACTTGGCCTATACAGCAAGTTCCAGGACAGCCAGGGCTTCACAGAGAAACCTTGCCCCGCCCCCAACACACACACACACACACACACACACACACACACACACACACACACACACACTCGAGACAGTTTTGGAGTGATACAGTCGCCCCAGGGTTTACAGACACATTAAATAATTAAATAAGCTAAAATGCACAGTGCGCTTGGAACAGAGCGGGAGAGAGTTCTCCCGGTGCTGAGCTGGGCTGTGTTGGTCAGCTACCTGCCAGATGTTCAGCAGATTCCACAGGAAAGTGCAGCCTCCAGTGCAACAGTTTTCCTCCTGTGAAGTAGCTCCCAGTGCTACTGATCTCAGTACAGCCACCCCATTCAGTGTAGCAGCCTCCAGTGCAGCAGCCTGGGGGTCAGACAAAAACCCAGCTACAGTATATATATTGTCTGTTTGTTTTGTTGAAACAAAGTTTCTCCATGTAGCTATGTCTGTCCTGGAACTCACTCTGTAGACCAGGTTGGCCTGGAACTCAGTGATTCCCCTGCCTCTGTTTCCCCAGTGATGGGACTAAAGGCATGTTCCACTACTGCCCAGTTTCTTTATACATTTCTCTGTGATAAAGTTTAATTCATAAATTAGGCACAGTTCAAGAGTTAGGATTTTTGTTTGGTTGGTTTTGTTTTTTGAGACAGGGTTTCTCTGTGTAGTTCTGGCTGTCCTGGAACTCACTCTGTAGACCAGGCTGTCCTGGAACTCACAGAGATCCGCCTGCCTCTGCCTCCTGAGTGCTGGGATTAAAGGCGTGCGCCAACACTGCCCGGCTCAAGAGTAAGGCTTTTTAACAATAAAGTAGGATTACTCTAATAATATACTGTATTTAAAGTTATTTAAAATTTATAAATTGTTTCTTTCTGGAAAGATCGAATGTTTCCAGACAGTGGTTGGGGGTTTGTAACTGAGACCGCACATACACACACACAGAGAGAGAGAGAGGGGGGGGGGGGGGGACGATGACAAAAAAACCCAGAGATTGAGGTGGGGGCTACTGCAACCTCTAGGCTTTCTCAATTTTTTTATGTAAATGAGATAAAATGTGCTTTAATCCTAGCACTCAGGAGGCAGAGGCAAGAGGATCTCTATGAGTTTGAAAACCAACCTGGTCTTCATAGCGAGTTGCAGGTAGCCACTCAAAACAAACAAAACCAACAAAATTTCTGTCCTGAAGAGCCAGGGACCTCTCAGTCAGACAAGTGGAGGCCTCCTCAAGCAGAACCTAATGCTATGTATGTAGTAGGCAGTTCACGATGGTGGGAATTCACGGGGTTCCTCCTCCACGCGTGGGAACAGAATAGTTGGGGCTGGGGGCAGATTCAGGATAGTCTCTCTTGGTGTGGAATGGAGTCTGATGGACAAGTGGATTTGGCGAAGCCAAAGGACGAAAGGAGCTCAGGACCAGTCTTGGGACTGAGACCCAAATCCCCAGCCAGTCTTCTTCCACCGACAAGTGACGTTTTGGCTGTAAGCAGCTATGAGTTAGTGGCGGGGCAAGCGGGGCAGCCAGCGGCTTCGGAGACCGAGGACACTTTGCGTTGTTGGCTGAAGTCGCCTGAGATTCTGCTGGAGCACAGGGTGGTGTGCCACCGAGTTGGGGTAGACAGCGGAGCCGAGGGGAGAGTAGACCTGAGGGGGTCAGAGGTTCCCCAGGATGAGCTGAAGTCGGGGTAGTGCACTGGGTGGCTCTGGGGACCGAGGACCCCTATGCGCTGTGGGCTGCTGTCCCCGAGGCGCCTGCTGAAGTGCAGGGTGGGGAGCCGTGGAGTCGAGGTGAGAAACGGAGGAGCTGAGAGCCTCTAGCTGCCGGGGTCCTGCACGAGCTGGATCGCAGCAGGGTGAGCCCACCCCATGACCCTATCCCTCCGCAGACAGACTCCGCCCCCTCCTGCAGCCGCCAATGGCCGTGCGCGGTGGCCTCCCCGCTGCCCGGGAGGCGGAGCGCGGCTGGAGGAGGCGGAGCAGGGCTGGGGTCGCGGGGACCGGAGCCCGGGAGGCGGGACCGGAGCCAGGGGCGGAGCTTCGGGACCAGCGGGGGCTGCCGCACCGGGACCCCCGGGGGACGGAGACGCGCGCCCCTCTCCCAGCCCACGTCGCCTCGCAGCGTCCCCGCGGGGAGGAGCCGGCCACCCGGAGTCACTAGGCGTTTCCAAAGTTTGGATTCACCTCCCCGGGAGGAGTCTCCGGGCCGCGGTCCCTCCGGGCACCGGGCGCCACCCGCCTCCCAGGCCGGGACCCGCGTCGACCATCGCTCGGTGTCGGAGCCGCAAGTCGGGAGGCGCCGCGGGCCTGCGCACGCGCCGCCGCCCTCGCCATCCTCCCCGCGGTGCTCCAGCTCTCCCCCCCGCCACCCACACCCAACTCCCGCCCCCCAAGTTCACGAGTTACGCGAGTGGACGGAGGGCGCGGGGCCCGCGCGGGGCCATGGAGGAGCCGCTGGGGTCGCCGCCCGCCGCCCTGTCGGCGCTGGAGAAGAACGTGGCGGAGCTGACCGTCATGGACGTGTACGACATCGCGTCGCTCGTGGGCCACGAGTTCGAGAGGGTCATCGACCAACACGGCTGCGAGGCCATCGCGCGTCTCATGCCCAAGGTCGTGAGGGTCCTGGAGATCCTCGAGGTGCTGGTTAGCCGGCACCATGTCGCGCCCGAGCTGGACGAGCTGCGCCTGGAGCTGGACCGGCTGCGCGTGGAGAGGATGGACCGCATCGAGAAGGAGCGCAAGCATCAGAAGGTGGGCGGAGGCCTCAGTCTGCCGGTCCGGGCAAGGGGCTCCGACTCCTTGGGTGCCATTCGGTTCTGGGCAGCCGCTAGTTTCCTTGTGGATGAGTGTACACAGTGCCTAGAGTACAAGAGAATGTTCAAGGGGTGTTGGGAGGGAGGGGGGAGGGAGGCCCTGGTCGTCTTGGCCCGGCTTGGAGCACTGAGTCGCTGTGTGACCTTGGGTAACTTGCTGAGGCTCTCTGAGCTTTGTTTCCTGGTCTGTCCGACGGTGATTACAGTAGAACCCACCTACAAGGATCAAATGGGATGCAGTGGGCACAGTACTTAGTATTATTTTATTCCAGGAAGGAAGTCAGTCCCCGCCCACCCTTCTTTGTGACCAAGGTGTGACACTAGATGTCCAGCCCTTCCTTTTCATCCTATCTGAAGTCCCTCAGAGCCCTCAGAGTGAGCGCCAGTCCTGAGCCCCCATCCCGGGCTTCGTGGTAGCAACTTTCTTCCCAGGGTCCCCCCAGTTTATTCGCCTGCACCCCGAGGTGCCTTCCCGGCCTTGGGCTTGCCTTTGATTCTTTTAAAACTATAAAGTGAGGATATTCTTCACTTTACGGATGAGGAAGCAGAGGGTCCGGATGCAAAAGGGATTCACCCCAGGTTACCGACGGGAGTCCCTGCCCTCGGGAGATACTTCCGGGGTCTCTTCCCCAGTCTGGTTGAATCAGGGCACCGAATAGCTCCAAGTGGCTTTCAGGCCCACCCTCTGCCCCAAGAGCTGTCATCTGCCTTTGGGAGACCAGACCAGACCAGACTAGGTGCCCGGGGTAGGGAAGTGGGAGACATGTGGTTTCCTGCCCAAACCTCAGCCTGGGCCGCTAGCTTTTGACGGACCTCTTCCGACTGGGGATGGGAGGAAACTCCTTTTCTCTGGATGCTGGAACCTGTTCTGGCTTGCTGTGTGGCCTCAGGAAGTTTGGTTGGCCTCTCTGAAACTCCCTGGCAGGCCATCCTCTATTGTGTACTGTTGGGATGGACCTTAAGTTTTCTGAGACAACGGTCAAAACTAGGTGTTCGGCCTCACCCGGAGGACAGGCCATGGGTGTGTGTGTGTGTGTGTGTGTGTGTGTGTGTGTGTGTGTGTGTGTGTGTGAGCATTATGGTCAGGCCTGGCTGTGTTTATCCCCCCCACCCCACCCCTTGTCCTGTGCCCTGGGGTCAGGAAGGAAACTGTGCTCCTCAAAGCCAGCTGCATTTCCAGGGTCACACTTGGAGCCGGAAAGTGCCTCCCTCGGTCCTGTAATTAATTTCCAGAATCTCAGGATCGCTGGGACGCTGGAGCCAGACAGCCTGGTTTTAAACCCCACAAGTTGGCAGGCCATGGGCTCTGGGACAGATCGCTATCCTGTCTGTGTCACGGTGCCCTCTGCTATCCCGAGACAATCTCAGTCCCCACCCTGGAGGACAGTGATGAGCCTTGGGTTGGGGGCAGCCAGTGGACACAAAGGGCATAGGCCAGAACCTGGGGCGGGCAAGATGATCCATTGGGTAAAGGTGTTTGTCACTAGAGGCCCAAGGCTCAGAGGTTTTCTGGGGAGACACACTGAGATGCCCCCAGGGGTTATTGATGCCCCCACCTAGGCATTTCTACTTCCCCCTTCCCCCCAGATATTCCACCTCTCCTGGAGGGCCTCCGGGAGGGAGGTCCTTGCCGTCCAGCTGAATCCTGACTATGGGCTCAGGCCGGGTGTCTGCTGGAGGTCCTGCTGGCACTTTTTCGTGTCCCCTCCCAATGCTTGCTTTCTGCTGTGCCTGGGCTGGGCCATCACAGGTCACCAGAGTCAGCTGGAATTCTCAGCTGCACTTGTTGCTTCAGAATATCACCAGCTGCAGCCAGGAAGCTGGCACCAGGGCTTGTTTGTAAACAGCTAGAGTGGAACCCCTCCTCCCCAGCCCGGGCCTCTTTGTGTGGCTTCTCCGTAGGGTCAGAACAGGCCCCTTCGTCCTCGGGTCTCTTCTACAACCAGAGACAGCTTCGAGCTATTTTTTTTTTTTCCCCTCCCACAAAAACCTCAGCAGCCCTTGATCTGGCTCCCGGCTCCCCCTACCCTCCCACCCTTCCCTCTCTCTCTGTAAACATAGCTTCAGAATGGCTGCGTCCTACCCTTCCACAGACACATAGACTTACCCCATTGGGCTCATGGCTCAACCCCAGGCCACGGACTCCTGGTTCTGCCTGATTAGGCAGTGCACAACCCTATGGGCATGCCATGCTGCTCAAAGTGCTCTCCCGGGCGATGTGGGCAGTACCAAGCAGAGGGAAGCCGAGTCGGGTCCTCAAGTCAGGCAGCAGGTGGGTGACAGAATACGGAGAGTGGGGGGCTGCGTGGGTATGCCTGCACGGAGCACACCGTGTGTGTTGTTCACTCAGCAATCACATGGATAGAGTTGTAAAGCTGGGATTCATGCTCAGCAAGCCCTCTACACTCCACACCCCCAAACCCCAGATGTACTTCCCGTGTTCCCGGCACCCTTCTGGGGACTTGGGGATGCAAGTGAAGGTCTGGCCCCTGTGGGCCTGCAGTACTAGGGCCATGCCATTCCATAGCAACAGGAAGTACATGCTAGGAGGAAACATGTGAAGTTTATTTTCACACAGAGAATGGAAACCATGTATATCCATGACACTTTCGTTCTCGCACGGATTCAGCATAAAAATTGCTGTGTTCTAGTTTCTCTGTGGTGCTGCAGGTGAAATCCAGGGCCTCAAGCGTGCTAGGCAGGTGCTCCTCCACCGCCCCCTGGTATAAGAATTGTTGAGTACTTATTATTTAATTTTGGTTTTTATATATAAGTGTTTTGCCTGCATGTATGTCTGTGGGCCACATGCTTCATGCTCACAACGGCCAGAAGAAGATGACTGGAGTTATAGATGGTTGTGAGCCCCCATGTGGGTGCTGGGAATTGAACCCGGGTCCTCTGGAAGAGCAGCCAGTGCTCTTGACTGCTGAGCCATCTCTCAGGATCCAATACTTTTTTAAAAAATATTTTTTAACCTTTTTTTTTTTTTTTTTTTTTGCTTGAAACAAGGTTTCTCTGGAATCCTCTCTGTAGACTAGGCTGGACTTGAACTCAACAGAGAGCCACCTGCTTCTGCCTCCCTAGGATTAAAGGCATGCATCGCCATGCCTAGCCTGCATACAGTTTTCATTTATTTATTTTCTATTTTTGAGGCAGG